ATCATCTCTCGCATTTACCTCAATGTTAAAGAAATCAAAATCCTAATGAGGAGGGACAGAAAAGTAGTAGTAGTTTTAAAAAGCCAACTCAAAACTATTGCTATAATTTGAGTCAGGGAGCCATAGAAAATCAAAGTTTTCTAGACTACTTCTTTCAAGGCTTTATCTTTAACTGAGCCCCATCTTTGTCCTGTAACCTTATGTTTTACTGTTTCAATACACAAGCTTCTTTGTTCCAAATTAACCTTTTCTCTGTTTTATGAAAATGCATGTCCACTTCCCTTTCTGTACTCAGGTTATTATTCTTTCTCCACTCAGTCTGTATATACCAACCTACCCACTGAGGTTCAGGTCAAAATTCAGCCCATGCCAAGCTGTAAAATTCTGTCTTAAATTTCTGTATTTTATGGGTAATTAGAATATTTTTGTTGATGGATTGATGGGCTTTTATAGGGGCAAAAGCTTAACCAAATTCCTATATAGTCAGGAAACTAGAAAGTCCTAATTATAAATATGTAAGTCAGTGGTTTAGCAGCAATAGCATACTTAAGACCTTTTCATTTTAAAAATTTCAACTTGTTATTTATGATCAAACCATCCCTACATATTTTAAACATCAAATTTTCAGATAACATTTGAAAAATACTAAATTATAATTATCATTAAAACCCCATCATCTGATTCAGTTTAAGGGAAGCTTGATAGCTAGACGACCATCTATACCTCTCTTTTGCCTCAAATACAATTTTCATATTTGGAGGTAAATTTCCACAAACTTGTTCTAAATTATAACTGCTTACATCTGAATAGCTGTTTTCAATTTTGTGTTTCTTGGGTAAGTGGGGTCCTCCCTCAGTATCCACAGTGGAGGGGGGGGGTTGGTTCCAGGACCCCCTGCAAATACCAAAATCCACTGATGCTCATGTCCCATACAAAAAATAGTGATCCACAGTTGGCTAAAGCCACAGACATGGGAGCCGTGGATGTGGAGGACCAGCTGTACTACAGACTCTATTGTTTCTATTCACTACGGTACTCTTAACTGGGCTGTGAATGAACAAGACATATAGAAACCCCAAGGAAGTAAGAAAACTATTTAATAAAAGAAAACCACAACATTAAACCAAAACTACTTAACTTTTGAGAGTAAATCTTCATTACTAAAACTCAATACCCACTCATAATTTTAGAAAGCACTTAGACAATTACAACATTAATTTGATAACAAGTACACCAAACCCTTAAAAATGAAAAGACCACATAGCACAAAGACTGCAATGGAAAAATACAAAAATTACGATGAATAACATTTTATGATTATCTATATTCAGAATCCAAGAGAATCCAGGCAGGCATTTATGATGATAGAATTTGTCATGATTATTAGATCTAAAAGTCAACAGTGTTTCTATACAAAGGCAAAATTTTAAATACAGCAAAGAAAAAAATAGAACACTTCAGAAGTACAACTTTCTTTGTGGAAGATTTGGCACAACTTTGTTGGAAATAAGACCAAAAAGCAGGGAGAAAAGTGAAATACGTGGATGAGAAATCTCAGTAACAATACTGGGAAATGCTAATTCTTCCCTCAAACAAACTAATTCTAAAACTGATCTGACAAGTAAAGGGCCCAGAGAATTCAGAAGTAGAATGAGATGAAAGTGAGGATTAGGGGTGGTGAAACCCCTGTAAGTGTGAAACTACACTAACTGAAGCAAGGAGGTGCACTGTGCTGTATCTCACTGACCAAACGGCTGACCCATGTGGTTTGCAAGGCTGTGACCAAATTGGCATCACAAGTGATGGAGGAAGGAGGGGGATCCCATGCATGATGTTGAACTAATTCACTATCCATATGCAAAGAGAAAGCCTAGGAAGATGGAAAACAAAGTTAGAATTAAAACTAACATTTGTACAAGAAAAGAAAATATTCTTATGACAACAGCTGAAAGATTTCTTGAAGAGCAAAAGATTGGTAAATTTCATTACATCATATTTTTTGTCATGTGGAAGTTTTTGATTTAACTAAGTGAAAAGAAAAGCTACGTACTAGAAAAAGAATGTTTGCATTATATAACACCAATAAAGAACTAGGACCCAGAAAATAGTAAGAACGCCTACAAATTTATAAGGAAAAAAATCAAACAATGTAATTTTAAAAATAGAAAAAGTAGGCAATTTACAAAATGGCCAAAAATATTAAAGTACTCATTGATGCTGTTAATCAGAAATGAAAATTAAGTCAGACAAACTTTACACTCATCAGATTGGCAAAAACTGTAGAAAAATGGGCACTGTCACATAGTATTGTTGGAGAGTGTTAAGCTGGTACAACAAATTTACATAGATTTCCAGTACCTAATTAAGAGTCAACAGTAACTGGGAAACACAAGGTCTCCTGTAAAAGTCCAGCTAATATGTAACAAAATTCCATCTAGCACAGAGTAGAATCAACATAGGTATGCAGCGATTACCTAGGTGCTGAGATTCGCAAGACAAAGCATGCAGGGAAACTAAGGACGACAGAGCAATGCTGACAAAGGACCATGGGATAACGGTCTAGTGGGAAACTAGTTTTAAACCGTGTTCTGTAGAAATTAAGAGTCTTGCAAAGGTGCTTTTGGGGGTTATCAGAGGGAGATGTATCAGCAAGGGTTTAGACCTATCTGCTTTAAACAGAGTAGTTATGTTTTTATCTGTTTGGCACATTGGAGGTCTCATATAAGGTTCTATTTGAAAAATTATGCTTTGTGAAGACTACTGGTTAAACAGAATAAAAGGACCTTAAAACCCTGTAGAAATAAACTTACATTCAGTTCAAAATGGTAGGACAGTAGATTGGTTTTATCAGAGGATTTAGATCTTGGCTATAGGTGTGCTGAACTGTCATTAATTCCATCTTTGTGTATTCAGATACTAGCTCATATCAAGAGAATAATATATTTGAGTATTTACTGTGTATCAGGTATTATGCTTACATAATCAGCCTATTTAATTTTTGCCAGCCCCATTTTACACATGAGAAAACTGAGGTGCAGATGGCTTCACTAACTTGCAAAATGTTAACACAGTTAGCAAATAGTGGAGCAAGGATAAACGCATTCTATCTGAGTCAAAACTTTTTCTGCTATACCTAGTTACAGTGAACTATATTATCTTGATAATCAGCTCTATAACTGTATTACTATTTCAAAATTCGAATTAAGTCATCTATACAACCCAAGTCAAAGGGGTTGGAGGTGAGGTAGAGTTTATAAACTAGTCCCAAAGTACAAACAACCCTCCTCAAAAAAGCAGAATTCCAAATATAAACTACTTCTTGTCGACATTACATTTTTAGCTATCCTCCCTCACTATGACCCATAATTGATTCCTATCTCTGTCTTTTTAAAAGACTTTTGACCATACCTACATATTTTATTAATAAGAAATGGTACATATAACAATACATGAGAGGAAGGATAAAGAATTTTTCAACATATCATTAAGTTTGTTAATATTCATACCATTTACCTACTAGTTTTAAAGTTAATTTACAAATCTTTAAAGCAAATGCTATAGTCATACTGTTCTCAACTACACTCTTTGCAATTTGCTTTGTCAACTTGTGATTTAGTAACTAAATGTTACGGACTGAGTTACGGTGAAATCTGAAAGAAGTGCCTATGTTGCAGTATGAATAAGCCTATTCAAATCTAGGAAACGAACTATGTAATTCTGACATGTAGCCAAGTAAGTAGTACCTCCTGGGAAGTGACATTCCTAGCACAGACTTGTCACCAGTACTGTCATACGCCACCTTCTTCCTCCTGCATGGATCAGTCTGCAGTTCACTGAGGCTATTTACTTATTGGTAGGTTCCTCCTCTCCCCTAGACCACACTCAAAACCTTAAGAAGAAAAGCACTGTATACTTGATTAAGACTAGAAGGCAAATGATTTATCCACTTCAGGTATATCTGATAAAAGAGAAAATACATACTTTTTTTTCTTACCAAAAAGAATGACTGTGGAATTGGTGAGCAATTTTCTCTTGTACACAGTAAATTTTCCTCACTGTTTTTGGGTGACTTTGTTGGACCTCCAATGCTGCATTTACTGTTTATGGATTCAGGTGATGAAGTTTTTGGATAAGGTGATACTGATTTTGTTATACAGTCATAATCCTGAGTAAAATCCCTTTCTGTTCCTTTTTCTATACCTATATTGCCTCACAAAACACAAACAAAAAGAGGTGACAGGTGTTAATCACTGTCTGCTTTAGAAATAGTATGATTAATTGAAATTCTAAAAATATAATAAACCCTCAAATCTTAGCCGTATTCAGAAAGGGTAAGCTTAATAAATCAAGGTCAAATTATATGTAAAACGTTTTTAAAGACTAAAAAATACTGAGTATTATTCAATTTAAAATAGCTCACAGCAAAAAAAAATGTGACAATGAATATACGTACATTCATGTATAACTGAAAAATTGTGCGCTACACTGGAATTTGACACAACATTGTAAAATGACTATAACTCAATAAAAAATGTTTAAAAAAGTTTAAGAACTTTCCAAACATTTTCAAATAAAAATATCTATGATGACCAACCTAATTTAATTACTATCCTGAGTACTCTGAGATCATAGCCAGTACTGGTACACATTAAAGTCACAGGTTTGATGGTTAGAGATAGCTTGGGAAGTAGTCTGGTCTAAATCCTTCAAATACAGATGAGAAAATTCATGGCTGAAACAAGTCTTAGTATAAATGAATTTTCAGACAGTTTTCAGGTCAGGTCAGGGCATATGATCAGATCAGGTCTTCTGAGTATGTGCTTATCTGAGATGACATTTGTCCTGAGCAGTATTAAAATATTCTAGAAAAGAACAAAATAGCTACTTGAGGGGAAATGTTTGTTAACTTATGTAAGTCTTGAATTTTTGCTAAAATGATGGACACTCAGAAATGCTTTAAAATACCCTTAAAAGGAACTGAAAAAGATATAATAAGTACAAACTTATTCTTATAGTTTCTATACTAGAAAAATATATACATATGCCAGAGCTTCAAAGAATAAAACTTTTCTGTAGATTGCCTTGGGCAGTGTGACCATTTTAACAATATTGATTCTTCCAAGCTAAAGCATTACTGAAGAGAAAGAAAGAGGCTGGAGGAATAACTCTTC